CTGCTACAGTACCAGGGACTCTAGCTAGAACAGCTGCGTATTAAATTTGCCACAACATCCAACCTGAATCCTGCTAGTCTGCTCCCTGAGTCGATGACCAACTGCCCATCCATGACTGCCTCGAGACTCTTAATCTGCCAGGAGGGCTCAAGATCTGACAGACCTGGCTCTTCTCCAGCCTGAGGCAATATACTACACCAAGGGTGCAGTTTCTAGGTGAAGGCGTACGATATGCGGGAACAGCAATAGTCAATCAAGACCAACAGATAGTATGGGAACAGGGGCTACCCCTAGGGACATCAGCACAGAAGGCTGAACTGATTGCTTTAACTAAGGCTCTGGAATTAGGAAAAGGGAAAAAGATAAATATTTTTACCAACAGCCGTTATGCTTTTGCCACTGCCCATGTACATGGAGAAATTTACCAGAATAGGGGGGACTTTTAACATCAGACGGAAAAGAAATTAAAAACAAAGTTGAGATATCGGCTCTGCTACAAGCCGTCTGGCTGCTGAGGGAGGTTGCCATCATTCACTGCAGTGGACATCAAAGGAATTCCAGCCCTGAGGTGATTGGAAACAACGCAGCTGACCAGGCAGCAAAGCAAGCCACCCAAAAATCAGTGGGGAAACAAATGGTGCTGCTACCTACTCCCTGAGGCCTCCCAGAGAGGCCTGAATACACAGAGGAAGAAATAACAGAAACGAACAAAAAGCACTGGACCAAAGAAAAGCATGGATATTGGACGACTGATGAAGGGAAAGTTGTCTTGCCAGCTGCGGTGGCCGACACTTTGCTAAATGAGCTCCACGAATCCACCCACCTGGGAGAAAAGGGGATGATGGCCATGCTACAGCCCCACTTTCTCAGCAGAGGATTAGCCCAGAAGGCCGGGACAGGGTGAGACGGTGCCCCACCTGCCTCAAGGTAAACGCGAATCAGGTGACTGGGCCCCCAGGGGTCTGATATAGGGGACTGACTCCGGGAGAACATTGGGAATTGGGCTTCACCGAAATGAAACTAGGCATGTATGGTTACAAATATGTTAGTTTTCATAGACACATTCTCAGGGTGGACAGAGGCATATCCCACTAAAAAGGAAACAGCTAACAGTAAAAAACCTTCTGACTGAAATAGTTCCTCGATTTGGCTTGCCCTTAGCCCTGGGGTCCAACAATGGCCCAGCCTTCTCGGCTAAAGTGTCTAAACTGATTAGCCTTAGTGTCAGAATTAGATGGAATCTACATTGTGCTTACAGGACTCAAAGTTCAGGACAGGTAGAGAGGGCTAACAGAACACTAAAGGAGATTTTAACTAAATTGAGCCTGGAGACTGAATTAAGTTGGGTAGAGCTTCTCCCTTTTGCTTTGCTGTGTATTCGATGTACTCCCAAGCCCCTCTGAACCTGTCATCCTTCCAAATCATCTATGGGCGTGCTCCCCCCTTGGTTCCCCATATAGATATAGAATTAAAAGAGAAATTTTTTCACCTGAGGCTGCATAAGTCTCTGAGAGCTTTACATGAAATACAGTCTCAATTACAAGATTGGGTCAGAGGATTTCTGACCCTTCCACATGAAAAACCTCTGCAGCCACTGCCCTATAAGCTGGGAGAACTGGTTTATATTCGTAGATTTGACTCCAAGGGGCCTTTTCCGGTTGTCCTGTTTACTCCTTTGGCCGTGAAGGTCGTGGGACACCCGACATGCATCCACCACAACCACCTCAAGCCTGGACTGGACAATAGCCCAGAGACCCACAGAAAATGGAGCACTGTCAGCAAACCCGGAGAAATGAAAGTAAAACTTTGCTCAACTAGACCTGCATTATAATCTGGGTGATTTTCCCTGGGACAATAATAGCTCGCCCAAAGAAAGCTTAGGTCATACTAAAAATGTCTGGGTGCAGCTAGCTGAATCCTTAAATTTGACTGAAATCTGTTTAAATGCTGATGTAAATTTTCATTATGTACTTGGAAATTGTTTGGTTCCAGTATGGACCCCACTTAAAGGTGTTAGACCACATACTATATTTAAAAACTTCCCACACATAAATCTTAGTTATTTTGATAGTTACAATTGGGGACAGGTGACATGTTACAAACCAAAGAATGCTATTAAGCTATATACCCCTTGGGTAGCTATGTCCAACAAGACCCATTGTGCCAAATATAAAGGTTGTACTTCCCAGTGTTTAAATGGGCAAATGCAATGAAGTGTCCCAGAGAACAAAAGATTCCTTATAGCAATTGTCACATTACTTTGCTGCTGGGATGGTTTTATACTCATGAGGTAACAACTTATAACTACATCCCAGCAAACTTGACTGAGGCCCCTTTTGTCTCAGTAAATTAGCAGTTGTCTTACCTGACAGGAGAGATCTTTTACCACCTAACAGAACAAAACGGTGGTCTCCCTATACTTCACCAGGTTGTGATGATGATGTGGGACTTTTAACAGATGCTGAAGTTATTCCTATGATTGTTTCTGTGATAGGCATACCCTCAATTGGAGTTCATGCTGAGAAGGCAGTTAGAAAACTAGCTTGCAAGGTAATTAAAGGATTAAACACCACCTCTGCCACACTGGCGCTAATTAATCAAGCCCTCCAAGAACAAAGACAAGCAATCTTAGACAATAGGGCAGCAATTGATTATTTGCTGTTATTTCATCACCAAGGTTGTGAAAAGATTAAAAATATGTGCTGCTTCAATTTAACAAATAATGGGCCAGCTATAGAACAAGACATAGAAAAGCTCAGACTTAGCTACAAAAATTCATAATGAACGGTTGGGATGAGACTTATTTAAATGGTTAACAAGTTGGTTATCTGACATTACCTGGTTAAAACACCTGATACTTTGCATAATGGCATTGGGATTTTGTATTGTAATAACTTGCTGTCTTTTACAATGTATTTCTCTGTTAAGGCTTAAAACTAGATATAAGTAAATCAAAGATTTGATTCAGGCCTGAAAATCAGTGGGGAATGTGAGAACTGACTGAACTAGAGCGATTCAATGTTGACCAGCAAATGACCCAGAGACTGTTGTGTCCTCCCCCCATATAGGATAAGTAATGATTAATTGTGAATTAATAGGTAACTGCTCGGGAGTAGCTGGGAAACTAGATAGAAACTGTAGCTGGGAAACTAGAGAGAAACTGTAACAAACATAGAGACCCAAAGTAAATCACTCCACTCCTTGTTTGCCCATAACTCAATGTTCTGAACACCACAATCTATAAAACAATTGGTAATCGATCTTGAGTACATGATTGATGACCACCAGCTCAGATCAACTGACCACTTGCCTTTGTCCCCTTCCTGTAAGTTTTGAGTATTAACTACCCCCATAGCCCTATATAAAATAGCCTCTGACTCTGAGCTAGTTGCCTCTCTGAGCTCCTTGGCTCTGGGAGTGCCATCTGGCCAGACTAATAAAGGTGTATTTGCCAACCAGCCTGGTGTGTTCCTTCCTGGGTGACTCTCGCTGTCTGATAAGCTCCTGGAGCCTCGCTGAGCTTTAGGGCTCAGCATCGTGGAGGCCTTTCGGCTGTTCACGCTCCATGGGGTAAAAGTGAGACTTTAAGTCTTACTATGGCACCCGACCCACTGTACTGTTTCTCTGAGAATGAAGTCTTTGGAATTTAAAGTATCAGTAGAAAACCAGGCTGAATTTATAAACTTGCAGCATCTTTAAGACTTAGAAATTGAGGGCCGGGGATTTAGCTCAGTGGTTCCATTGCCTGCTTCGCAAGTGCAAGGTCCCTAGTTTGATCCTGGTACCACACACACACACACAAAAAGACTTAGGAAGGAGCCTGGAAGGAAAGCAGGCATGGGGTGAAGAGCGTTTCAACCTTGGAACTTTGTCTTGAAGTTGCAGTTTTCTAAGTTTCCACAAAATGACAATTTCCTTTTCTCCTTCCTGTCTCTATTTCTTCCATCCTACCTCAGCTCCAGAGACGTGTGTACATATTCCTAGAAAGGGATACTCAATGTTTAGCAGTAATTGCAGGGTTAAAGCACCAATGAAGAGATAATGCATTGAGCAAAGCCCTAGAAGTAATAGGGTGTGCCCCTCCGCTGCCCCAGTGACCCACCCTTCCAGGGTCATTGTCTGGATACACAGTGACTGGTGTGGCTTCTCTGCCGCCACAGAGCCCCTGCTCTCACCAATATGCCTCAATGTCTGGGCTGACTGTGATAAGAGAAGAATCCTGAGATATCTCAAATTAAATTCCAGGCCAGAGTGGAGGAGGGAGATAAGGGAAGGCCATTTTAACTCACAGCTTTAGCTAAATCAACAAAGAAAAAAAAAAACCAACTCTGCTGTGCCACCTTCCTTTCCTGACTGCTAAAGATCCCCCCTCAAGGGTGACTGCTGCTTTCAGAAACAAGGTGTAAGAGCCTGACTGAACCAGAGCAACTCCATGTTGACCAGCAAACGACCTAGAGACTGTCGCTCCCCCCCATCCCTTATAGGATAACTAATGATTAATTGTGAATTGTTAGGTAACTGCTTTGAAGTAGCTGGGAAACTAAATGGAAACTGTAGTGAACACAGAGACCCAACACAAATCACGCCACTCCTTACTTGCCTGTAGTTGAATGTTCTGAACATTATAATCTAAGTTGTAAATGGAATAATGGATAATCGCTCTGCTGATCATTAGTACATGACGGTCAAGTATATGCTTGATGACCACTAGCTCAGATCAACTGATTCTTTGCCTTTGTCCTCTTCCTGTAAGTTTTAAGTGTAAACCCCCCCCTTAGCCCTATATAAAATGGCCTCTGTTTCTGAGCTAGCTGCCTCTCTGAGCTACTTGGCTTGGGGAGTGCCGTCTGGCCAGACTAATAAAGGTCTATTTGCCAACTTGCCTGGTATGTTCCTTCCTGGGTGACTCTCGCTGTCCGACAAGCTCCTGGAGCCTCGCTGAGCTTCTGAGCCCAGCATCGTGAAAGCCTCTTGGCTGTTCACACTCCAGGAGTAAAAGTGAGACTTAAGTCTTACATCTTGGAGGCCCCAGTGAGATCCCCAAGTGGGAACTGTAAATCCGGCCGAGATTCTCTGTCGCAGAATCCAGCTGGAGATTCTCAGACATAGACCTGAAAAGCCTCCGGAGGTAAGTTTTGAATTGGTTGCAACCATGCGATGTCAGGATAGAGGTGGCTGACGAGCTGGGAAGCCTCACCTGACCCCGGCCCTGAGGAGGATTCAGGGTAGAATCTAAGTTCTTCTTCTTTTATGTGGCGCCTGTGTGTCTTGTCTGTGTCCTGTCTGTTGAGTGTTAACTTTACATTCCTTCCTAGGAACAAGATGGGAGGATCGAGCTCCAAAAATACCCCATTGGACTGTTTTCTCACTAACTTTAAATTGGCTTTTTCCCCTGAGCAGAAGATGAGTATGGAATGAAGTTTTCTCGAGGGAAACTTCGAACCCTCTGCAACTTGGAGTGGCCCGCCTTCGGAGTGGGCTGGCCAGCTGAAGGTTCTTTCGAACCAAGACTTTGTCAGGCAGTATGGGCTAAGGTCATTGAACACCCTGGCCACCCCGACCAATTCCCTTATATTAATATCTGGGCCCAGGCCTGTGAAGAACCTCCGGAGTGGTTGCAGCACTGCTCCCTGCGCACCAGTTCTCGTATTCTGGTAATGGTGCCAAATGGGATAAAGTCCACAAAGTGGCAGGCACCCAGGCCGGTCTTCTCCCAGGAGCCGGACCCCTTAGAGCCTACTGACCCCGGGTTAAGACCCCTTCCATATGCAGAACCATCCCCTGGGGAGGCAAAAGTTAAGTCCATCTACCCATCTCCCCCGAAAGAAGGGGAGATCCCGGATTCCACTACCTCTCCTTCCCATACCCGAGGGGGCTCTGCTTATGGGCCCCTGGAGGCACCCCAGGAGAGACCAGACCCAGTCCCTGTGCTCCCATTGAGAGAAATAGAACAAGGTCATTATGTATACATTCCTTTCTCTACAAGTGATTTATATAACTGGAAGCACCAGAATCCCCTGTTCTCTGAGGAGCCGCAGGCCCTAATCTCCTTCCTTGAGTTTGTGTTTAATACCCATGACCCCACCTGGGATGATTATCAGCAACTTTTACAGGCTCTGTTCACATCTGAAGAACGAGAAAGAATTAGAGGACACGCTATTCGGTCAGTGCTGGGGGGAGCTGAGGGGCTTGTTGACGACCAACAACAACAGGCCCCGAGTTGAAGTACAGCTCCCCATCTCCCGTCCCAAATGGGAATGGAATTCCACCGGAGGTAGGGAAGCTCTTCGCAACTACCATCAGCATCTCCTGGCCAGCCTTAAGGGAGCCGCTCGCAAGCCTACCAATTTGAGCAAGGTAAGCGAGGTCCTACAAGGGCCTGAGGAATCCCCCTCTGCCTTCCTGGAGCGTTTGCTGGAGGCGTACCGCACATACACTCCAATTGACCCAGACGCTCCAGCGAACAGGCAGGCAATTAATCTGGTTTTTGTAACTCAGTCGGCCCCAGATATTCGGAAAAAATTACAGAGAATTGAGGG